TGTGGCATTGCTTTAAAGTCTAGACATCAGCACCTCGGCTAGACCCATTTACATTGCTTAAAGCCAATTGAGGGGATAAGGAAATATTCTAGCAAGCTCTGCACAGATCAATACATGGAAATAGGGCCAGGTTTAGCCAACATGGAGACAAATGCTTTTCTTTAGAGGAGAGCCTTCCTGGTGGTCCTCCACACTTTATAGTCTCCCTTATGTGACTTAGGTGACTTGAAGTCCACTGGCTTTTCAGAGAACGTTTCTTTGCTTCTCTAATAAAAGTGACAGAAGTCATCTGTGAATTCCCATATTACTGTGCACAATAACTATTTCCTTATTTGTTTCTCTTAAGTAAATTGTTTTCTCATGGAGAAATAGACCATATTTAGGTACTTGCATTTTCCAAGGTTTGCTACCCTCATTTATGAGGTTTTTTAATTCAGTTTCTAAGACTCAGTTTTGAAAATTTTTCCTTGACTTTTCAAAATGTTTATCTGAGATTCAAGAAAATGATCCAAGCCAAGGGTCTAAAAATAGGGGCATCTATAACAGGACACCCACTTTATCTAGTAAAATCTTAGACATTCTAAGAGGAAAAAGTCTTCTCATTTTCTTTTCAAACAGTACAACCCATGACTGTGTTTGGGGGGGTTCCTGAGCTTTCATATTAGATGGTTGGACTTTCTGAATGGATAGATGATCTGTGTAATGTTTCGGCTAGTTTTCAAATTCCATTCCATTCCATACCCCCTTCAAATAGAAAATACATATTTCATTGGATTAATTGAATTAAAGGGCTATTTCTATAACTAGAAAAAATGCTTTAGATGAAGGTGACACCTACTGATAACATTTCACATGTTCACTGATTATCTGAACAAAAAAAAATTCTTCCTTAGGCCTACCATGGTGACACACAGCACATGCCTATAATCTTAGCAATGAAGAGGCTGAGGCAGAGTGATCACAAGTTTGAGACCAGCTTAGGCAAATTAACTAGATGCTGTCTCAAAAATAAAATTGTAAAAGGACTAGGGGTGTAGCTTAGTGACACAGTACTTATCTAGCATGTACAAGGTCCTGGGTTCAATCAGAGAGAAAGAGAGAGACAGAGACAGAGACAGACAGAGACAGAGACAGAGACAAAGAGAAGGTTTTTTTCCGAATATTTTTATTAGTACATGTTTGTAGTACATAATGTTTACATTCTTTGTGAAGAGTTACTACATGTATGTAATACATCTTAATTCCTTTTTTTCATCCTCTCTCCCTTCCCCCGTGAGAGAATTCTTCTTCATCACTGTGGGGGTACCACTACTGAGACCCAAGACTTCTCCAGATATAATCATTCCATAGGTGACCTAATCATGTCCTGTAACCTTAAAAGCCATACACAGCCTGATTTATCCCACCTCAACCTTCACTCTAAGCTTCAGACAAATATTCAGCACATTCAACATCAATTAATTGAGAGTTCATAAACCACTGATTTTATGGAATTCCCTCCAAAAGTCTTCCCCAACTTACTGAATATCTCCATTCTTTCAAAATCTGATTCTTCTCTCTCACTCCACAGCCAATAAACTATCAGGGTCCCAAATACTCCACTTGCAAAATAGGTACAGAACCTGCCAACTTCTCACCACCTCCATCTCTGATGCAGTAGCCACTTCTAACATTGCTGAAACAAATTACTACAAACCAAGCGACTTCAAATGACTCAAATGTATTATAGCTTCATAATTGAGAAGTCAGAAATGGGTCTTATCATGCTAAAATAAGATGTTGACAGAGCTGTGTCTGGAGGCTTCACTTTCTGGCTTTGACTAGCTTCTAGAGGCCACCACGTCCTGTGCCTCATTACCCTCTCAAGCTGTTATCACCTTACATTGCTCCGACCTCTTTATCTACCTCCTTCCCACATCGAAGGACCCTTATTACATTAGATGCACCCAGAAATCCAGAATAATCTTCCTATTTTTAAGGTCAGCTAATTACCAATTTTAATTCTATCTGATATCTTAATTCCCCCTTGCCATGTCACATATTCACAGAGATGAGGACCTGGATTTTTTTGGCAAGGGGTTGGAGGTACAGTATTCTGATTATTCAGCCTACTATAACCACTCTGATATAAATTTTGAATTTTAATTACTAGACTATCCAAGAGTCTCCAAATGGGTTTCTCTGTTTCCACCCTTGCTTCTTTATGCTTACCCTACTACAATTTTCCCAAAGAAACCAAAATACTTCACATACAATTAAAATGTGACCATGTGCAGGATGTAGATTAGTGGTAGAGCGCTTGCTTAGCATGTACAAGGCCCTGGGTTCAATTCCCAGCACTGAACAAGTAATAATAATAACAATAATAATAATAATTAAATGGGATCATGTGACTCCTTGGCTAAAACCCTCTACTGACTGCTTATCTTATTCAGTACAAAGCCAAAGATCTGAACAGAGCCTAGAAGCACACTGCTAACTCTTCTACTCATTCTCTCCCGATTCCTACCCTTCATTCAGCTCCGGTGACACTAATCTCCTTGCTGTTCTCTAAATCAGGCAACTTCTTACCCCAGGCTCTGTACACTCCTTGTGCTTGGAACACTCTTTGCCCAGACGGCCGTAAGATTTATTCCCAAGCTTCCTCAGCTCTTTGCTTAAATGTTATTTTATTTTTTGTTTGTTTGTTTTGTTTTTTTTTTCCTGTATCAGGAATCGAACTCATAACCTCGCGCTTGCTAGGCAGGCACTGTGCCGCTGAGCTAAATCCCCAACCCCTTAAATGTTATTTTATCAGAGAAATCTTTCCTGACTAGATCACTTTGTTCAAAATACCATCCCCCTACCCCTAAATCCTCTATCTGCTATAGACTGGGTGTGTGTGTCCCCCTAAATTCCATGTGTTGAAGCTTTAACTCCCAATATGATGTCTGGAGGTGGAGCCCTTCAGAGGTAATTAAATTTAGAGGAAGTCATAAGCATAGAACCCCTATGATGGACTTAGTTCCCTAATAAGAAGGTAGAATTATCTCTGCCTCAGCTGTATATGCAGCTGGCCATCTGCAAACCAGAAAGATGAATCTCATTAGCCAGCGCCTTGATCTTAGACTTTCAGCCTCAAGAACTGTGAGAAATAAGTATTTGTTGCTCAAACTACCCATCTATTTTGTTACAGAAGCTCAAGCTAAGACATCACCTTCGCTCTTCATTTTCTTCATAGCACTTGTATCCTTGTTTAGTATTTAGCTCCTTCCAGGAGAAATTATGTGCTTTGATCTTTTGCTCTTTTCTTAGCATTTGTATACTGAGATTCTTGGTAACATTCAATAAATATCGGATGAATAAATGGAATCTAATTTTTTAACTCTATTAGTGCTACCTAATGCATAACTGGCTCTTTGGGTCACTAATTCAAAATGCTTTCTCCTCCCCAGTTACTAAATTCCTGATTACTAACATAAAAATTATAGGGATATAAGATGAAAGGCAATTTTTTTAAATTTAGGCTTAAGATATAGAAAAAATACTTATAAATACATTTTAAACTTTGTGATTATTGAAGTAATTCATTATGAGAACTCTAATTGAGGAGTGGGAGGAAAAGACTTTAGGTCACTATTTTTCAGGCCAGGATAGAGGAGTTTTGTCTTTCTGTTATCATTTTCTGTTTTTTTCTGATCCTGAGCTGTGGTAACTTTAAGGTGATGGAAAAAAATTCTGATCTGCTATATGTTTTGGTCTTTTTATTAGACAAAATATGAGGAAATGGGGTCTGTTTTATAATGGTTTTTTGATTTCTAAATGGCTATTTAAATACAGATAACAGTACATAGACAAACTGGAGTAGCAGGTTCTGCCACTCTACCAGCTCGCCTGTTACCCGATACATCCACTCAGATGGCAGAGCCAGCAATGCAGTGTGGTGTAACACAGCTGGAATTTGCCTAAGCTGACCCCCTAAATGCAAGAAGTAACCTTCATGTTGAGAACTGTGGAGGTTGGGACAAACTATTAATTGACAAATGCCATTCGTATAATTTCAGAACAGTGAAAAAGGGAACTCCAGACAAAAGGAATAGAACAAAAGTCAACAGGAAGGCACTATATAATATGTTAGATTTTCTTTGAAGATCAAGCCAAGTAATGTAAAACATTCTCTGTGCTTCAGTTTTATTTGTAGAATTCAAATAGATAGTTTACTTCTACCAAGATTTCCACACTTGGCTTCTAGAAAAAAAAAAGAATGTTCTTTTTCATGTGGTACATGCCATTTTCTTAAAACTTATCTTTCTTATTTGCAAAAGTTTGCTTTGAGGGTACTTATTCTATCTTCACAAATAAAACTATGTATATATTATATATACACACACAGATACATATATATTTTGTATGATTTATGGTCAACATCTACATATATGTAATCATAAACATTGACCATAAATCCTACATTATATATTATAAAATTATATATTTATATAACTTTATGCAATGTATTTATAAACATTGACCATAAATCTTAAAATTTACATATTAGAAAATTAAATACTACTATGCAATATATGTGTATAAGTATTGACCACAAATTTTACAAAATTACATGAATGATCATTATAAACAAATGTGCATAGCACCTGCTTTAATAATCAGTGGCCCCTGAGAATCTGCATTTTCCTAAAGCAACTGCTTAGGCCACCTCGCCTGCTTTTTATTACCTGGCAGCTGCAATAAAAGTTTTGTATAGTAACAAAATTACATATTCTTCTAGGACGGAGGGAAGGTGAGTGGTGTACACACACAGTCAGCCAGAGACCAGGTGTCTGTCTGGGCTTGGAATCCTCAAAAGACTAGTGATTGGAAGACTCCCAATCGACTTCCTGTAGTAGAAAATTAAACTTAACTTCTTCTTTTTTTGTCTTTTTGAAACAGGGTTTCACTATGCAGTTCAGGCTGGCCTCGAACTCGCAGCGGTCCTTCTGGCACAGCCTCCAGAGTACTGGGATTACAGGCATAAACTTAACATCTTAGAGCCTCCCTTTCCTTCTTACACAACTAGGGCATTACATAATTTTAAAGTAGCTGATTAGTTTCCAGGTCCCTTCTTAATCTACACAATTCAAAGCTGCTAGAAATATTTTAAAAGTTGGCACATGTGTGTATACACATACCTCTACATATGTATCTATATACAGACACACACAGTTCCACTGGGGAAGAGAAAGAGCTGCACAGCGTTTCATAGCAGGACTCTACAGTGCATCATTATCAAGACGTTCTTGTTCCTAAAGAAAAAAAAGTAAGTTTCTGGGTGGCATTCGGTTGCAGAAAGAGCACTGAAAAGGCAGACTGGGAAAGAGTTCTAGTTACTCCCTACGCAGGCTCCGGGCGCTTCCCTTGGGATAGCGGCAGTAGTTTGGTGGACCACATCCCAGCTCAACTGGGGACCCAGCGGAATTTGTAACCTCCACTGGCTGTCCGGATGGTGAAGGCGTTGCCCTGGGGGAAGGCCAGGGTTCGGATGGTGCTGTGGCTACGGATGGGGGTGCTGAAGGAGCCGCCTTCTTGCAGCTCGCTGTGGCTCAGGTTCAAAGCGCCGGGGCTGCAGTCCGTGCGCAGCCCCCGGAAGGCTCCGTGCAGGTTCCCAGCCCTGCAGTCTTCGCTCCCTGGCCCCAGCTGCATCCGGGGACGTTTGGGATCCCGGCTCTGCAGGGCTTCATCGCAGCGCTGGGAAATCTCGCTCAGGACCGCGTCCACTTCCGCGCAATCCTGACCTGCTGCACTGACCAGCTCCTCTAGGCTCCTTTTGGCCGTCGCCTTGAGCAGGAAGGTCTCTGCTGCTGCCCCAAAATCTCGGGTCTGAGTGATCATCAGCTTCTGCGAAAGATGAGGAAGAGCGCCGCCCTGGGGCCAGCCGGACTCTCCCCTTGTGGGGGACGCAAAAGGAGACCTGGGGGCCTTGCGCACCTCGAGTCCAGTGGGCTTCTACTTTCCCAGACCCCATCGGGTCCCAACACTGGCAGCAGGGGGTGGGAATAGGAGGAGACATCGCAGCGTCCCAAAAGCCTGTGCCCCACTTACATCCAGCACGGAGGCCAGGTGCCGGGTCCGGCTGGCGAGTTCTTTGAGCTGCACGTTTCGCTCCTTCAGTGAGGCGATCTCCTCCTGTTTCTGGGTTAGCGTCACGTGCAGCTGCAAGAGGAGACCCCAAGAGGGAGAGGCCACCAGGCTCACTGTCGTCTGCACGAATCAACCCCGGACCCTGGGGTCTCATCAGAAATTGAGGCCCCAGGGTCATTTACACTCCTGAGAATAACTAATTTATTTGACTTTTTAGAAAACAAAGTACTTAGATTTAAAGCAGATCTCAATGTGTAGGTAGCCGTGAAGAATAGTGACTTGGGCAACAGGTAGATGTAGGTTTTGCCTCTGAAGTTCAACCACCCCATGCCTCAGTTAAATTATCTATAAATCGGGACTGTTAAGAGCTTCATTAAAAGGACAAACCCAGTGTCAGGCACATAAAAAGTCTTCAATAAATATTGGCAGCCGTATTTAAAATCTGGTGATACAGGCTTATTTCCACCTAGGGGATATGGAAACTGACAAGGAACCGCTGGAGCAGTAACAGCTGCATAAACCACCAGCCCGCCCACTGGTCAGAAGCCCACAGGAGGCATCCTGTGACCCATAATTCCGCCCTAAGCTCGACATTGTCCCCACCAGAGTCCTACTTGGTTATTCTCCACGAGAGCGTCCCCCAACGCCCTCTGATTCTGGTCGGCCACCTCCTTCCAGTACTGCTCTAGCGGCGGAGCTGGCTCCTCTGTAAGGCGTAGTGGTGGCGACTGCAGGGCCTGCGGGTCTAGCGGCGGGGAGAAGCCAGGACCAAAAGGCGATATGTGGTCGTCATCACAAGGAGAGAAGGGGAAGTCACTGTCGGCCAGGGCAGGTGACATCAAAGAGGATGAGTCTGGCGGAAGAGCAAGAGCTGGATTTGCTGCCTCGGACTCATGCCCAGCTAGCTACAGGGGCAAAATGCCACACCAGGTGTAGCTGCTTATGTGAAGATGTATTCACTTATGTGAAGTAAGGATGGCACCCTGCAATGCCTACCACTGTCAGGGCCTTCTTCATATCCTGTACCAACAAAGCAGGTGTTCTGCATACACCTGCTGAGTTAACCTCAGCCGAATCCAGCACACCTGGCTGGGCCCACAAGTCATACAACGCCTTCCCTCCTCTACGCACTGTTGTCACTCACCCTCTTCCTAGCCATATCACGAATATCCCTACATCCCTCTCCCGGAACTCACATGGACGAACCAAAACAGTACTACTGCCCCAGTGATTCAACTCCACTGGAGGGAAGCGTGTATTCTAAATATGGAACAGCCTTGCCCTGTGGTGAGATTCTGGCGAGTCATTGACAGGTGGCTGTGTTCACCACCCTGATGACCACGAAATCTGAGCTAGTCCGATCTAGGAGTAGGGGACAACCCTGCATCCTCATTACTGAACTGCAAGACCGCACTTGCCTGCAATGAGATCATCCACTGTGTCTCTGAAATTCTGCAGATCGAAGTCTGCTTCTGTTTGCAAGGAATGATCCTAAAATAAACCAGGGGTGGAGAAATAGTCAACACTGAATCTGGCCCTTGGGGGACCAGTCCTAGGTGGATGGGCGTCCTCCTAGTTTCTGCCAAGGGTCGCACACACTTGCATTCCCAGCCAAGTGGCATGCCTGAAAATCCAAGTGCTCTCTGGCACAAGGACCCCAGCAGCTTCACTGTGCTGGTGGGGAGCCAGGCGCACAAAGCACAGACTAGGCCCGCTTGGCACAGCCCGCAGACAGCACTGAGCACACAACTGTCCTTCCGTGGGTCATGTGGAAGCCCGAGCTGCCTCAGTGACTCCCACCAGATAATCAGCTTCCTCCCTGAAGTTCTTTCCACACCGAGAACCTCACCTCCAACTCAGCCCGACTCATCACTGAAGTCCCTGCTTTAAGCACGGAGTTCTTTGAGCACCTGAGCACCGGGTCTTTCCTCCCTCCCCATACCCAGCTGCATTCAATCCTCCAAAGTGGTAACAGGAAACCCTGCTTCCTGAAAAGGCTGTCACTGCCAACCACACACACACCCAGGAAGGGAAGGGAAGGGTGGGCTATAATTGAAGGGGCCAGGGATGCTATGGAAATAGTTTCTGTTCAGCACGAAGCAGGCATGGCTTCTAAGGACCTTTTCAGTTTCTCACAACGTTGGAGTTGACTTTTCCCTCTCAGTCGGATGCACCTCCAACTTCTCCACCGGGACACTTTCTTGGCCACCCACTGGGCATCTGGGTGTGCAGGGGAAAGGAGACGGTACAGGCGGGAGGGAAAACATCTACCTATTCCCATCATTCATAGGCATTTCAAGTTGACCCAATTTTCTTTTTTAGTTCCTCGGTTAACCCTCACAGCAGTGTGGGAAGCAGGTAGGGCCCAGGAAGTGCTTCCTCTTCCACTGAGGGGAAATCTGAAGCTCAGAGAGGCTAAGTTACCCAAAGTCATCCAGCTCCTGCCCTGGAATGCTAGTGCCTTTTTCACTCTTCTTTCCCCTACTCTGACTGCCTCTCTTGTTTAGGAATGCCTGGCTTCCACCAAAGAAGGCACTGGAAAGGAAAAGGTAGTTTCCATGGCCATGGTAGGAGGGGTTGCATCAATGCACCCTTCAGATCCCACTCTTGATCTGTGCCTCCCTGTTAAACCTGCTGATCTTCACAAAGCCCTTCTTTACTAGTTACATATTGTGGGAAGAGGAACTTATTCTGACACTTGTTTCAAAGTATCAGTTTCCGTCAGGCATTAAAGAGTCAAGGCCAGAAGCCTCAGCACCAGTTGGACACTAAAGCCATACAGAAGGGGGAAGGAGCCCAGAGAAGGATTGAGAGCCTCAGGCAAATCCCAAAGCACCTGTTTTGTGAGTCAGAAATGACCTTCTTCAAAGGGCTGAAAATTCTCTACTTCAGTCCAGATTGGAGAAGAGTCCTCACCGTGAGGAGACTGGAACTCAGCTCAGGAACTGGGGCCCAGAGAATGCTTCCTCCTGGCTATCGCTGTGGTAGATATTTCAGGTCTTTACCATGCTGGGCTGCAAATACTTCTAATGCACTCATTCTCTGTCCACCTCCCCAGCAGAAAAGGGCTGGGAAATGTGACCCAAGGTGCAATGGCCACAGATTTATTAGGGATCACTCTCCCACTGTACCAGCTATCTTTCCTAGTGGATATCCTGGACCTTTTGGTCCATGTGGTGTGAGTGCTACCCTTGAAATTTCAGATCCTACCTTCCCAGTTAGATAAATCTGGCATTTCTCCAAATACAAGGGAAAAAAAAAAAAAACTACGCAGAACATGGTGTCAATTTTAAATTCTGTATGCTTAAGTGAAAAATTCAACAAGAGTCTGCTTGGTTTTTGTTACTTGCAAAATAAATGTGTTGGGGTAAGGGAGTGATCTAGGATCTGGGTCTGGTGAAAAATGCTCAGACTTCCCTTACTTGAGCATTTAGATCTAAAAGAACTAAATGGCCTTTGCCAAGCAATGGCCAGTCCCTCCTCCTGCCTTACCAGTGTCTGCTTTCAGTGGCTGCCTGCCCTCAGTTATCCTGAGCTCTTTCCCAAGGTTCTGAGAGGCCCTTGGTGGAGGGCTGTGAAGAGCTTTGTTCCACCAGCACTCCCAGTGCTGGGAGGTGGTCACACCTGGTGAGTTCTCTACACAGCTGTCCCAGTACCTGCTGTCAGGAGGCTGGAATGGCTCTCTTCCTGTGGATTGCATCGGCTAAGACCGCCTGTACTTCTGGGTACTTGAACCAGGCTTCTCACCTCCCAGATAATATGGAGAGACTCGGTCCTTTTCCTGGGTGGTACCAGCCCCAGCAAGCGGTAAAGGTGGGAAGGAAGAAAGCAGGTTCAAGAGGAAAGAAAAAAGTCCAATGTCTGTTTGCCCCACGATGGCAAGTGACCAGAGCTTTTGGTGGGAAAGAAGAGGACTTTTTAGAAGTGTCCGACTGCTTGAAGGGCCATCACTGCAGAGAGAAATGTTTTCTGTTGATTTCTGCTCAAGTCCTTTGTCGTTCTTCCACTTCTCCCAAATACAAATTCCTTTGCACTGAGCTACACCCTCAGCCCATTTTTATTTTTTATTTTGAGACAGGGTCTCACTAAATTGCCCAGGCTGGACTTGAACTTGCCATTCTCTTGCCTCAGCCTCCCAGGGTGCTGGGATTACAAGCCTGCACAACCTTGCCGTTATTCATCGACTTCCACGCTCCTTCAATACCCAGGGAATGAAAATGGTTAGTAAGTGGCCAGGAGCAGGGTGCTGGGAGAACACACAGGGCATGCATCTTGTGCGAAGGTATCCAACGCACAGCTTCACTGGCACCCATTCATCTGGTCCCTCAAGGCTACATCTCCGTGGGCCTCACAGCTCCAGGATATAGATGCAGAGCCCTACAGCCCAGAAGAAATAGTTCCGGAAATGCGGCCTTCCTAACGTACTAGGAGGAGGAAGTTCGGTTCGGAGAGGCTCAGGTTCGGAGAGGCTCAGGTCCCGCACGCCACCTCCCCGCGACTCGCTGAATGTGCCTGTGCGCCCGGCCTCGGATGAATCTCGACCGGAATAAACCCACTACTTCGAGAGTGGCGTTAGTGCTAGGAGAGGCCGAGAAACTCCTGGGGAAAGCTGGTGGCGGGCGGGGGGCGGGGAGGGGGGGAATACCTGCGAGGCGGCCGGGTCACCAGTAGGCGGCGCGTCGGGCCGGAGCAGCGAGGAGCAGTCCGCGAGGTCCTGCAGGTCTATGGTGGTGAGGGCTGCGCGGGGAGACGGAGACACGCGCCCACCAACCCTCAGCCTCTCCGCCCTGCTGTCCGCGGGGAACGTCGGAGCCCGGGGAGACAAGCTCCGGGCTGCGCGCGCTGCTCACCACCCGGCGCGGGGACTCTGAGGGGTCGCGCAGGTGCCTGGGGCTCACCTGGCAGCGCAGCGGCATCCGTGCCCGGGGGATCCTCGTACACCGACACCGTGCTGCTGCCGCCGCATCCGGAAAAGAACTTCCGCGCAGGAGCGAACTAACCGGGCACAGAAGCGGGTGCACGCGGGTCAGCCCTCGGGGCGCGCAGCTTGCAAACCCCGCGGACCCGGCCGCGGCCCCACCTTCCTCTCCGGCTTGCCCTGCGCGCCCAGGGGCCGGCCCGGCAGCTCCAGCATCCTGTTGGGGCAGATGTTGCCGAAGGCCCGGCGTCCCGCGGCGCTGCCCCCGCACGCCTGCATCCCTCTCGCAGCAGAGGCGGCGGCCCAGGCGGGACGGCAGCCCACACCCTGCGCTCCCTGAGCCCGTGGAAGTCCGCCTGGAGTCGGGAAGGCGTGTGGCCCGGGAGGAGCAGAGGGAGGGGGAGGAAAAAGAGGATCGCGCGGGAGGGGCGGCTCGCGCCTGAGCGCCAGAGGTGGCGCCTTCGGCCCCGGACAATCTGCGCGCAGGCGGAGGCGTTAACCCAACCTGGCAACCGGCTTCCCCAGGGAGCCACGAGCGCGGGGCCGGAGCCCGCCAGCGCCCTTTCGCGGGGGTTGGCGCCTCCGCGTCCCGGCCGCGCCAGGCTAAGCGAGGGAAAGAACCGGAGGCGGGCAAGCCCCACTAGTCCCTAGCACCAGGCATCGCCTTGAGACTTAAGAACAGCAGCACAGAAAAGTTAAAGACTTTTATTTCCTTTTCTTCCTTTCCCAACAACAAGGCACAAAGTAAACAGTGGCACGCCTCGCCAAAGCCGGACTCAAGCCTTTGCGCTGCCCTGGCCCATGAGATTCAGTGAGGATGTAGAATTCCTGCAGGGACTCCCCGTACCAGCCCTCGGATTACAGAAACCCCTAAACCTGGGCAGTATCCTGGGCCTTCCCTCACAGCCTTCTACTTGGTCTCTTGGCCTAATGCTCGCCTCAGCCCTGGCAGTGGCGCCTGAGCACACCCTTTAAAAAAGAAAAAGTAACATCTACCTCGCCCCCGGCTGAAAACCCCAGAGTGGACCGTCCCAAGTCCCCTAAACGCCCGTCCCCTCAGCTGCCATCCTGGCGTTTGGCTGCTGTCTTTACAAATGGCCTTAGCCTGCTACGCCAGCCTCAGTGCCCCTTCCCAAGCTGGAGTCCATGTGAAACCAGTCTTTGTGTACCCCGCTACTGGGTCCTTTATACCTTTTAAGTAGAATGAAAAATTCTCTGTTAAAGTGTCACGATCCTCTTTTATTTGCACTCATTATCTGGATCAAAAAACAAGATACACCTAACAGCGGTGGAGGATAAACAATGGTTCACTGGCATGGTCTTGGCGTCTCTGAGGCATCTGTAGATACTGGAACTGAGTAGAGGTGAGAAATCAGCCTGTTACTCCTGGTGTGGTATTGCTGATGGTGAGGGGCTCTGGCTTTAGGATCAGACTCCACCACACCTATGAGTCCCAAGTCTTTAGGAAAAACAGTAACACAGACCCCAGCTGTGAAGACCAGTGGGCTTATTCACATAAAGTGACTGGTATTTAATATGGACAAGTTATATCGTTTTTTTAAAAGCTACCTTTTCAGTTATATTTCCAGCTTCTCACAGTCTGTTCCCGGCTGCGTGGCTGGTTCTTCTGGTTCCTAAGAAGCTCAGTCATAGCCTGTCTGCCCCTATCTTTACCCACTTTTTAGTCTGTAAAATGAGTAGGAAAGTTCCTGGCTGAGGTTTGGCGAGAACTTTACACATGCAGAGCACTGCCGATTTTCTAGGACAGGCTCATTTTTCATATATTCATCAATAAACTCTAAGTTGGAGTAGACAAATATGGGCATTGTATATTAAATCACTTGTGGTAACAGAAATTGTAATAGCATGATGACATGACTGCTAGCCTGGATGACTCTGGAATCAGTCACAAAGTTCCTCAAGAGCTTAGCACCAGGAGAGACAGGGATGGGGCTTTGCTAAGTGATAAGAGTTCTTTTGTAGAAGGGTCACATGCTTGAAGCTAATCTGAGAGTCCCGTACGGTATGGGACTTGAGATTGGTGCTAGGATTTTCCTCCTCCTTTTTCACCATCAAGGAACAGCTTTCCCTCAGATACAGTATGTTGGGAATCACACTTCCTTCCTCCCGACCCACGGCAAACCTCTCTGAAGAGCTTTGCATTATCTTTATCCACAGAGAAAGGGTCCCAGGAACCTAGAGTAAGGTACTGGAGATCTGGAGAACACTTGAGGATGCTTGTGGAGAGAAATACAAAGAAGTTTCTACAAATTACATGTTTTGCTTTTTGTCATACATTTGGGTTTATTCGAAATATAGTGACACATGAGTGGGATTTAAAAAAAAAAATCTTTAGTTTTTCAGCCTGGCAAGGTGATGTATGCTACTTGGGAGAATGAGCTAGGAGAACTACAAGTTTAAGGGCAGCACGGGCAAGTTAGCAAGACTGTCTCAAAAAGGACTAAAGATATAGTTCAGTGGTAGAGCACTTGCCTAGCATGCAGGAGGCCTCTGGTCCAGGCCCTGGTACAAAATAAAATTTTAAAAAAGAAATAAGTCAACACAAATTTGAAGGAAAAAAAGTACAATGAACTGTACACTCATCCCCAGCTGTCAACATTTCTATTTGCTTTAGCTATTTCTTTGCTCTAAGGTTTTTTGTTTGTTTGTTTTTTTGGTCCTGCATAAACTCTTTCCTCCCATCATTGTGTAGGCTACCACTAGGCTTTCCTCCTTGAGGGCTTGCTCTGTGCCAGGATCTGTCGGGGAAATTATATGGAGCATCTCATTAGAATCATACCTCAACTCTATCAAGTAGGTAACTCCTGCTATTCCCATTTTTACAAAGAAGATGTGGGCCTGGACTTGCCTAAAGTCACCAAGCAAATTTGTGTCAGAGCTTAAAAGTTTAAACCACCTCATGTTTAAGCTTCACTTCATTTAAACTTCGCAGCTCTGGCATCAGCTGTGGAGCTGGGAGAGATGAAATGTTCTGCAGGTGGTGGAACTACAGCAGATTCGTGACTTTGAGATTGAATATGACAATTATAGAGCCACAGAAATCCAGCAGGCCTGTCTCACTCCCCAGCCCAGTTTTCCCATCTGTAAACTGAGTCCTGAAACATGACTAGAAACAAGGGTATAGTAGTCTTTAATGAATAGAGGGCACTGAACAAGTAACTTGTGAGGCACCAGAAATCTATAAATAAAAGTTTAGCAGAGTGACCAAGGGTGGGATTCTCAGCACCTGCTTTAAGTCCTCTGTGCCCCACTATCATCTTCTGAAAATTGAGATAACACTGTTTCGTGGAAATATTGAAAGATCCAAACAATGAATGCTGAACACAGTGCCTGGTATGCCATAAGGACTCAATACAGTCTTTTTTGCCGTTATGCCATTGTTACCCTGGAGCTCACATGTAGCAACATAAGCTGAACTGATTGCTTAGGCTCCACTTGAGTTGGCCCCAACACTCTGCAAAACCCTTCTTTCTGACATCTGCTGGGTGCTCGAGGGATTCTCTATATTGGAAACACCCGCTTCACCGCTAGTGTGCCCCATGTGATCCCCCAGGCTTCACAGTGCCACTTCATCTGCACTGGCAAAGGTAGGCAGTGGCCCCTTTGGACAGCATAGGCTGCTGTGCATTTTACTCTGCCTCTCATCCTCCCATACCCTCTGGATCCCTAGTGATACAGTCCTCAGCCTCGGAGGATCCTAACATCTTATCACTGGAACCCTGGCATACAGAATATTGCCCAGCTGGTCTCAGAGGTTCTAACAGTATTCAGACAAACAACAACAGCCTGTTTATTGGGGAAAGACAGCTCCTGGTGTTCTCGAACGAAATCAATTACTGGATCCTGCTGTTATATAACCTGCAGGATGGCAAGCTGGAGTCCTGAACCTCCCTCTTTGGACAAATACTTTACTCTTCTGAAGCAATGGGAGGAGTCCATCATTCCCAGCCAGAAAAAAGGAGCCCAAAGGTCTGTTTTATTTCAAGCTTGGGGACAAGCTGCACTTCTCGAAGATCCGGAGGGGCAGAATGTGAGACAGGGAGGAACTATTTATGGCCACCAGCACCTGCAGCTTGCGCAGGCAGTCCTGCAGCGCCACCTCAGGGTGCTCGCCCAGGCGCAGGTCCACCGGGCGCGGGACCTGGAGCATGCGGTCCGCCAGCGCCAAGCAGCAGATGGCCAGCAGGGAGGGGACGTAGCTGGTGAAGGCGTAGTCGGCCAGGCTCAGCTCTGCTACTCCCCGTGCCAAGATTTGCGCTTCCAGAGCTTCAGAGACCTCAACTTGCCCCGCCTCCACGCGCTCCTGAGTGAAATGCTCCAAGAAGAAGCTGATGGTGGGCGCACCCAGGCTGAAGTGCAACTTGTGCAGCACGATACACTCGAGGTTGCAGAGCTGCTGCCGGGAGAAAGCGCCGCAGCACAGCGCCAGGAGCTGTTTCACACGCGGTGGGTGAACTTCCACCTACAATACAGGTGCGCTCAGCGCCACCCCCACGGCTTCCAGGGTTCGAGTGCGCCCCAGCCTGAAACCCAGGAAAACCCTGGAACCCCCTCTCATCCCTCCCAGGGATACAGGGATTTCACCTGTCCACCACGTTCACTTAAATTACCTTCTGTATATGTCCAGTAAAGCTTCTCTAACTACAGTGCGACTGGAAAAAAGGTTTGGGAAATTTTGATTTTTTTTCCCCTCTCTTCCGGGAAGCCAGAATAAAAATGCCACAAAGCTTTTAGGGCCAGGCGTGGTGGCACACGCCTGTAATCCTAGCACTGAGAAGGTTGAGGCAGGAGAATCTCCACGAGTTCGAGGCCAGCCTGGGCTACACAGTGAGTCCACGGTCAGCCTGAACTACATAGTGAGACTGTCTCAAAAAATAAAAGTAAATGAAATTTTAAAAAGAGACTTACTACAGCCTATTTCTTTGGGGACCCAGTGAAAGAATTGTTAAGGCCGTAGATTAGCAAGCCTCTGCCCAAATAAGTTCGAAGAACCCAACAATGAGCGCAACCTGGAGAGGAGGGCCTCCAGAAAGGAGGACAGTTTAGCCCCACCTCTGCTCCCCACGCCTCGTGAAGGTACCTGTTTGCAAGCAATGAGCAGCGAGGTGACTCCGAGCAGCTGGAAGCAGTCTGCAGCCACAGGCGTGGTGGTGAGGAAGCGGTCCAGAGTGTTCACCGTCAGACACAGCGACTCGAAGGACAGCCCGAACTGGCGGTGCACGGGGATCAGCCAGCTGAGGAGCTTACAGCGGGATTCCGCGGTCACCTGCCGAGAGAGAGGAAGGGCGCTGCCGCAAGGAAAAGCCAAAAAGACTCAGGGAGCTTCCCCGGAGGAAAGTAGGAAAAAGCTAAATGTCCTGGAAACTGGGAAAACGCGGGCAACACTGCTGCTCAAAGCCGCCGGCCCGGGGAGCGGGGTGCCTGGTTTCGGGCCGGCGCGGTGCCCGCCTAGAGCTTGGCTCACA